TTTTTCGAAAAATTGCGCATGAAGTTATTTCAAATTCTAATTTAAAGAACATATTTCATTAACAAAAAATCTCGATTTTCAAAAATTTTAGTTGTCGGAAGAAGCCGAAAAAGGTACACTTTGCCATTTTCAAAAAATTAAGGATTTCAACGAAAATTGAACTTGCATCATTCTTTTAAGCGTCGTTTACGCTATCCGGGGACAAAGTTTAATAAAACTAGTAGCGCTACATCATCATATCATATACTTTTCCGCACAATTTCAAATAGCTCCGCTGTATTATACTACTTCATGAACCTGTAAAAGTGTTTTCAACCAGAAAAAAAAAACTAACACGCCGTGCGCGAAACGAGTTTTTTGTGCTTGTTTTCTGAGTGCGAAGCACCTATTTTGTCTTTGTGTACGAGACATCCCGAAGCGGGTGCGAAACATCTGACGCTTAAAAATGTAATTGGCTCAAGCCCAATACTTCCAACACGTTATTTTCTAAAATTCAGATAGATCAACGAAAACTACACCTACATCTTTCCTTCACGTGTCGCTTGTTCTATACATGAAAACCATTTAAACATCAAAATTGGAACAGATTTTTAAAAGATATTTTAAAGAGCTGATTTTTAAAAACAGATTTTGTTTAAGGCAAAAATCTCTATCTTCAATTTTGTAGTTTTAGAATGTTAACATTTTACAATTCTCGAAAAGACGGAGAATTCGCGAATAGAGTCAGTTCTTTTAGAGTTAACTTTGATACATACAAGGAGAAAGTTTAAAGAAAAAAATGAAGTGGCTTTTAAGAAAAAAATTGTTTTCAAAACTTTTTAAAAACGCCAATATTTTATTACAAAAATGCTATATACCCAAATTATAATCATTTTTTATATTTCTTCTCAACAGCACGATATACAAGCGTACTCAATATAGAAAAAAATCGACAACTGTCGATATAATTTGGATCTAAAAATATGTAGTAGATTGAACATATTAATTTAAAAATACCTGGTAAAAATAACCAACATCATCACTTGTTTACTTGACAATAAAAGATGTGTCAAACTGCGAACTGTCAGAATCATAAATAGACCGTTGCATCTGATAATCACAACGTGTCAAGGAAACAAGCATAGTACTTCGAGATAACAGGGGGATAGAGAACGACTGTTGTGCTCTAGCAGACCCTCGACTCGCCTGCCCGGAATAAGTCCCGGGCCAAGAGCCGGGGAAGCGGCAGAATGGTATTTCGGCTGGTGTGCTGTGATAGCGAGTGTCTTCGCTGCTACGACGAGTTTGTAGACGACGACACTGTGTCTACAGGTCGTCTTCTCTGGTGAACGGTAATGACTGTGAAACGCTTGGCACATATACTGTAATTTTTGTGACTGGGCTTCTATTTTGGATTATGACTTTTGGATTCCTGGCTGATTGTAACAAGTACGTTGATTATATCGATGGAAACATGAATACATGGATTCGGTATTCTTAATTGCTGCGTTGAATTACGGCATGAAACAAGATTTGTAATTGTTGTTCGATTATCTTAACTGCATTGGATATAGAGGCAGGGTAGCTGGTGAAGTGGTTCTTTATTACGAAACAATTGCTTGAGGTTTGACTGAACGGTGGTCATCAATTAGCATTTGCACATTTATATAACATCTTTAATTATCACCAGCGTCACCTCTGTCGTTAATCATGGTCGTGTCAATACTGAACATCTCGGGGACAACTACTGATATTTTAATCTGTTTACCTCCGTTCAAATCTGTGCTGTTCTGGTTAAAGAACTTCTTTCCTAATATAGCAAAATACTTAAATATTCCAACATATAAATCATTAAAACACGATAATATAGTTATAATCAAGTTTGATTAATAGTTCATACATTCCTAGTGTATTAACGGAATATGTTCAGATTCTTCCAATTGATAGAGTTAAAAGGGCGCTTCAATAGCAGGATAGGCACTCAAGTCAAATATTAAAAATTAGAATTAGATTATAAAAAGATCGTTGCAAATCCAAGTACCCAGCTAATTAAAACAGATTTTTACAGGTCCGGCAGATAATATGGGTGGTGAGTATGGTGGGTAGCTATACCCACACGAATACCTCTGAGTGGGTAAAATACCCACCCGATGAAACCGAGAAAAATATTCCCTAAACGTCAAATTCCAGAAATAAACTGAGTTTCTCGGTATTGCTTCGACTCAAGTAGTATATGCGAGCAACTTCGTTGCAAATTCGACTTAACAGAATTGCGATTCTACATATTTATTACGACATGAACGACAAAATCGATTTCTAAAAATTGTTAAATAAGTTTATATAAAAATGCAATGCGCAGCGCTATTTTCGCATTGCGAAAATGAACTGCTGGAGTTAAATGAAATAAATCTGATAACAATTTAGAGAGAAACATAAATTTTTGAAAACAATATGTTTTGTATTTGTCCCTTCATATACATTTTCGGTGGGAGATGGAAGGGAAGCGGGTTGACTACCCACTCAAACTTTACATCAATCGCCAGCGCTGCATATATAATTCAAAATTAAGATCTACAGGCCGTATAAAACCTAATAAAAAATGCAACAGTAAACTCATGGTCAGCACATATTTTCTTGCTTTCTTTCTTATTTTGCAATTTTCAAATATTCAGAGAGATCAATGAAAATTGGACCTGTGTCTCTACAGAGATCCTTGTTCTATCTGTGGGAAAAAATTAATTCTTTTTAAACGTTCTACTTATAGTTCCTCACATGGCTTGAAATTTATGTATCTTACTAGTGATCCCTATCTCTTCTATAGGTAATTTTACATCCTAGGTAGTTAAAATGCGTCACTTAATCTAAAACCATATTTTGAAGTACTATCTTTGTCCATATTGATTTTCCATTAAAAGCTATTTTTTTTTAATAACTAATACTATCAGGTTGTACTCTACAAACATCTTTGCAAATTCTCTTCATTTTCCCACAGAATCATCTGGTTAACAGCATAGAGTATACAAAAATGTAGTTTTGCCTAGGTGAGTTGCCTAGGGCACCACGTTTTTCCACCACTTAACTATAAATTCCATATATATGTCCAATAGTGTTAGTGAAATATTGACTACCTGCCTTACTCCTTTATTTATAATCCTCTTTCAACAAATCCTTTGTATTTTACTGCGATATTAGTAGTATTATACATAATTTTCACCACTTACACTAGATGGTTTTAGTACCCTTCTTTCATAATGGTCCATAATTAACATCAGTTGAACAGAAATTCAGCTGGTACGAATTAGATGCTTGGAATTAACGAGAGCACTGGCATTCCGGGTATATTTCCAATAAATGAAGTTGAATATTGTGGTAGAAGAAAAAACTAGTTGTGCGACAACAGCACGTCTTTTTCGCGGTATTGTTAATAGCTATCTAATATTATAATATGACAATTTCTCACATACACTTCAATTACCATTTGAAAAATTCTTAAATAAACAAAACGTGAAAAAATACGTATATTTTTAATTCAAACATTTAAACGAAAACATATTTATGCCATTGAATTCAGTATACCCACGTTCTGCATAAATGTACCAATAGTGCACAGATGCGCAATAATATAATTATTAGATTATATTAACGCGAACGAACTGCGACAGGCGTTAAAACCGCGCTGCAGCCCCCAACAACGTCCACTAATTCGTATGGGATACATTTTGAAAACTAGTATTGGTGATACCCCTGGCGAGAAAATGAAAACGGATACAAAAATATAATAATTAAATATAATAATGTTACATTCATCAATACTACTCGGTTTTTACGCGTATTATTCTTCATTCCTATACCTTATTATGCAAAGCAAAATCATCTATTCCTATTCACTTTTAACACAATTAAAGACCGCACTTTAAAATATATTTTAAATAAATTATAGAATATTAATTTGTGAACGTACTACATGAGCTCGAATGTAAGGAACGAACAAAGAAATGTGAAATAATATACAAATCCTCACTTACGAATCATCCAGCTGGAATTACCTCTATTACGTTCACGAAGCGCAGTCAATTGGGAACGGGCTATTATGTTTGTCACATATAACACAAAAAATACTCCTTTTTTTTGTTGCGTTTTCAACGAAAATGGGATCTGCACCATTCTTTTAAACGTTCTTTACACTATCCAACAACACAATTTAATTAAAAACGATGAACCCATTTTTTTAAAATTTTAAATGTCGCAGGGGTTTCGTGTAAAGTACCCTGCAAAATTAAATTGCCGCGACACTAGACAGACTGATCTGGGAATGACCTTTTTGGAGAAAATTGGCTGAACGGTTTAGCCGCTAGCGTTATTCACAGAACAACAGACTGACGTTTTGTCGTCAACCGACTTTTCAGTACCAAGGACCTACAAAACATGGATTCTGTCTTTACCACGAGTTATTCCACCCCACTAAATTTAGCAACTGGATTCATTCATATATTTGTTACGAGAGACCGATAAGAAGATTTTTGCTGCCGAAAATTCTTAAGGGCGAGAAAGTAAAAAGAAAAATCGATATCAGACCCCACGTTAGGTTGACCACTGAACAGATACATATTTACTTTCCTATAACATCTACAAATATCTGCTACTGAGTTTAAAACTGTTGAAAACACGAAGTAGGATTGCTCACGTGTCGAAACAAAGTCAAAAAGAAAATAAATCGATTATTTATTTTCAATAAGTAAGAAACCGATGTTGTGCAGCTGTCTGCATAAACGTAACGTCGGACATTAAGGACTAAATATGCTCTAAAACATAGGAATTTACACTCGAGAAACGAAAACAAGATTATACAATTTAATTGAAACCTGTGAATTCCTACTGCAAATAATCTTTCACAAATCACCCACTGTGTTCATGATGGTGTCCTGAAGTTTTGACATTTCAGTCTTGATGTTATTGACGAGTCGGAGATATTGAAGATAACCTTGAACAAAAAGTTGATTTGAAGTTTATCTTGATTAAAGGCTTCGGTCAGTTTGTGTCAGACGCTCAAGCGAGATAGTCACCATGGAACGTGCGCGGCGCCCCTGGCCGCCGATGCTATTACTGCTGCTGTTCGCCTGGACAGAAGCAGTTCACGGTGAGTGAGCAAGTCCCTCTGTCCACACGTATGGGTGCTCTCAAGTAGCAAAATACCTTTCACTGCTTTATTTCAATTTCTTAAATATTCAACGAGAACAGCATTTGCTTGAACCCTATTTTAATTCCTATCCCATCTAATGTGTTCTAGCTCTCAGAATTTGTCTTGAATAAATAGGACGAATAGGAGGAAAGTGTTGTAATGTTCCACCCTAGCGGTGCCACAACATTTTCTCGCGATATTGTTAATGGTTATGTAATATTACAATACGACAATTTCTGCCTTACATTTCAAGTACCATTTAATCAATTCCTAAACAAACAAAGCGGAAAAAATACATATATTTTTTAATTCAAACGTTTAAACGAAAACGGCTTTCTGCAATTGAATTTAGTGTAATCACGTTCTACATAAACATGCCAACTATGTGCGATGAGTAATTTAGTTTAGAAAATAATTAGTTTATATTAATTAACGTGAACCAATGGCGACCCTCTCTATCGCGTTCTGTTATCAGTGCGGCGTTGCAATAAGCAACAATATCCGCTGATTCGTATGGCAGACATATTTCGTAAAGCGGCATTCTACATACCAAGAGCAACAACATGCAAACACATATTATATCTCTGTTTTAAATAAGATTTTTCTAAATACGATTGTTACACAACACTCGTTTTTACTCAATTTCTAGTCATTCCCGCACCTTATTATGCAAAACAAAAATAATCAATTCGTTTTCACAATTACCTCTATTAAATAACGCAATTTAAAATAGATTCATTGCTTTAATAATAATAATAATAATAATAATAATAATAATAAACGTAATCTTTCTTTACAAGATGACGGCATCCAGGTACCTTTCACATTATATTGCCATTGGAGTAACTCCGTGTAAGCCAAAGCGCAGAAAATTCAATTTTCCATTTCGATTTTTTCCAACTTTCGAAAATACAAAATACAACGATAAAGGAGGCAGCACCAAATTCTTCACTTTTCTTTGTTACATACGTAAAAAATTTAAAGATAAAAATTACAGCAGTTGCTGAGATAATTGTTTAAAATTTAAAAATTGACTATGTTTTGTATATTTGACGCAATTTCCGCAAAAATACTCTGCTTTCGCTTTTGAAGAACAATTTTTCATTAAGAAAGAAATTATCTTCGTAATTATAATTCTAGAATGACGCCAGATAGCATTTGAATTTTTCGAAAAATCGGGGTTTTAACGAACATAAGAATTTTACACCATTTATTTAGAAAGTAGTTTAAAAAATACAAATTGCCTATATTTCTCTCAATATTACTCGAAAATTACTCAAGTTCTCAAAAAAATGTACATGACCTTTCGGTTTTTCATTACATTTCCAAAACAATGGCTCCATCATTTGTCATTAACTTTGTGGTTGTATAGTGCGGTGTATAGGGCGGTTTGCGAGAATGATGAAAAATTCATTTACGTTGAAAACACTGTTTCGAAAAGTGCAAATTTTCAAATTTTTTTGGCGTCTTCCTACAACTACAGTTTTAAAGATAAAATTTGTTTCTTAATGAATTGTTCATCAAACAAAGGTTTTCGAAATAGGTCGTTTTTAATATTTCGAAAATATGACTATTTTTGGCGTAATTTTAAAAGAAATATTGACACCTTCAATTCTAATTTTCAACAATTTCCCCAAAATTCACTTTATAATTTGTCTTTCATTTTTATCCTCGTATGTACCAAAGAACTGTGAAAATTGTGGCGATATTACTATTTTACGCGCACTCTGCATTTTCGAAAATTGCAAAGAAACATTCGGATATATAACTTCGAATTAACGCGCTTCATTTCAGTTGTTGCCAATACGGAGCTTCAAAATTCTTCGAAAATTGCCTATTTTTGTCGGTCAGGAAATTGTATGGTCTACATATAATTTAAATAAAAGGAAATATTGAAGGAAGATAATACATTTTTGCTTAGTACTAACTAACACTTCTATACTTTAAGAATATATAACGGATAATTATAGCATTAAAGAAATGGAAAATTACTATAAATGTAATCAAGGTATGCAATTAATCATGTTTTTTTATGTTATGTTCTGTAAATACAGTATCATTTCATTTATACATGTCCGTTTCATTCTAAAATAGGATATTACTATTCTTAGGAAGCAATTCGTTCGAAATAGATTATTTGAATTAAAACTATATTAAGATTCTCATACACTCTCCCGAAAAAACTACAGCGCATTTCAAAAACTGAAAAAAGAAAAATCATTCAAAACTAGATTTCATATAAAACAAATTCAAAAAATATTGAAAAAAAAGTTTATGAATCTACAAAGATCATTAAAAATTTCTTTGTCAGGTTATCAACAATCAAGCTACATACAGAAAATAAAAACCTCAGAACAAATATTAAAATATTTCACAAAAAATACAAATGGAATCTACAAGATAAAGAATATATTTGGTGCAAGAACGACGCCGGACACGGCAGAGCCGCCGTCATCCACGCCCGACACGGCAGAGCCGCCGTCATCCACGCCCGACACGGCAGAGCCGCCGTCCACCACCACGACGACGACGACGCCTCCGGACACGGACGACCCGTCGCCCACCACCACCACGACGACGCCTCCGGACACGGACGACCCGTCGGCCACCACCACGACGACGACGCCTCCGGACACGGACGATCCGTCGCCGCCGGACACAGAAGAGCCGTCGTCGCCGGACACAGAAGAGCCGCCGTCGACGACCAGTTCAGAAATTCCATCAACTGAAATGCCTGTGACTGAGCCCCCAGGCTATTTTCCTCAATTAAATTCGACTGTTGTTCCGGATGATGGTGGAAATGCTTGCATTTTCGCGAGTTTTAAAATGAAATTGGTGGTGCCTTATCTCAATAATTTAAGTCAGGTGAGTTTGTTTTCAATATATAAGAGTTTAGGATTATATTGAATGTGCCTGTACGCAGATAGCTTTTATTGATTGTTAAGTATTTAACAGACAATGGTAAGATTGGGTCGTTTGTATTGAGTTTTTTTAAATTCTGTACGGTTTTTTGTTTTGCGATAATTGCATTGTTACGTATTGTGTTCGAAAGGGATGGGGATGGGTTGTCTTTTTTGTCACACCAATTCGTAGAGGATACATTCGTTACGATTTACTTTAGATGGGTTTGATGACTTTCAATTTATTTATTATTCTATTTTTTCCACATATTAACTGAATAGTGTTGGTCTTGTTGAATGTGGCTGCTTTTGGGGTTCAGGTTTGATTTAGCACTTGTGCAATTATTTTATAAATCATTGTCTTGTGTGCTGATATTTTCTGACTTAGAAGATTTTGTATGTCCATATTTTTTTCTACTTTCTTTAAATTATTGTTTTATCTCCGACAATCTTACCTTCAGATTTGTATATTTTCAGCGAACATTTGTGTTTTTTAATGTCACTTCGGAAGATTCACCTTCTCTTCCAAGAAGAAATACTGTTTCTAACTGGTTAAAGATTAATAAGAGATATATGCAGTAAGCGTTGGCGTGGTGCCGCTCGTGGGTATTTTTATTGAGTTTAATTTGATACAAGCTGATTAATTTTTAATCGAAAAGCGCGGAAAAGCGGTACATAAAATCTCTTTATTTTAATCGTCCCTGGAGGTTGGAACCAGCGACTTCAAAGGACAAATGTTGGCGGTGGTGACTGAACTCCTGTAGCCCGCCACTCAGATCCTTTGCGTCATTTTGGCCATGTAAGACTAGTACCAAGCTCTTAATCGCTCGTCCTTGCCTAGATCCCCTGATTTGTCCAGCACTTGCGTAGTGTTGAAAATCTCTCTGACAGATAACATACAGGAAATTCTAATGGGGCGATACAAGTATTCGGTCTGGTGACCTGTATATCCGGTCCTGGCCAAATAGTGTCTTTGGAAGGCCGCTACCTTTCTCATGGGAATCGAGTATGCAAACGCCAAAGTGCCGAAGTGTGCAAAGGAGGCCTGAGAGAGCCAAGTCGGTTTTGAAAGAAGCTTCGGCTAGGCAACCGTGCCTGCTGAGAACAGCGATGGTCTGGTCAACCCCTGGTGGACTCCAGAAACTCGGTGCTACCCGTGCCGATGTGAGCCAACCGGTTGGGCGGTGTCAAGCTCTCCACCCGAAGGCATTTGGGAAGTTCTCGACTGCCGCCTAAGGGAACTGAAGGCTCGACCGGTGTCCATAAATGGAAGCTTCTAGAATATGCGTTGTTTCCTGACATTAAAACAACATCCCGAATCGTGTAGGTGGAAAGGGGAGATCTTGAGGCTCAGATCTGCCAGTTAAATCGTTTAAAACCACGGCGACCATAAGTGTACACAGTACCATGTAGATACGTGGGTAAAGCTAGTCACCACCACTTTCATGACATTGAAAAATTATTGCATTTGGGCAAGTTTTGGACTAATTTCAGCCCTCCCAAACACGATTTTGGGTTCTCTAATATTCATTTTTCGGTCGAAAAAATTATTATGGGTCCTTGGGTCACTTTTCAAAATTTCTAATCTCACCTCTAATTATAAGAACAAATCTACTCCATTTTCTCAAAATTCAAAAAAATTTGCGCCGTAATTTTGGGCTCTTTGACGACTTTAAAATCACTTTTTGCACTAGCCCCACAACCCATCCAAAATTGAGGTTTTAAAAACGTGAGTGGGAAAGTAATCACTCCCACTTAAAATTATTTTAGAAACATACAATTTAAAATACAATTCTGGGCTCCTTTGAGGCACTTTATTTGATTTGGTTTATTTAGTCAAATACCAGTTACAAACTGTGACGAATGGGGGAGTAGTAACAATTGCGCACATTTTCGTCAGCTTCTTCAGCTAAAGATGAATAAAAGTTAATAATTATAACAATAATAAAAACACGAGATTAGCAACATTGGAAAATTAGACATTTTCGTTCGCGAATTATAGAAATCTTGCGTTGGTAAATGAACAGCAGAGTTTTAATGATCAATATCAGAATTACATGTTCACACCGTTAAGTAAGCCAATTTTGACAAAAACTACCAACTCGTAATTAATAGGCAAAACAAAAGTAGAAATGATTCCAAGCTCAATAAAGAGAGGCTCGCAGAAATCACGTGGATGGCATTTTTTTTTCGAAAAAATTTTCTGCTATCTAAATGTATGGGTGGTTCACGATGCGCTTCTTCAGAATATTATGTCATATCTCTGGCGGGAATATACATTTACAAACTACAAACAATTAGTTGCATCAAGGCTGACAGAATTTGAAATAATTCTGAATGCGTAATATGATAAATTTAATTTAGGAATTAATTATGTTATATGTACATTCCATTTGAGATTCAACTGAAGTGAAAGACCCAGAAATTTTGTTACCTCAACATCAGCTAATTCCATATATTGTTCATTTTCAATAGAGCATGCGATTGCCGATTTGAAATCAATTTTCCCCAGCTTCTCCTAACATTCCCTTTACTAGGCATGTTATGTACCTACTCGAGAAAAAGCCAGTGGTGCTACAGAATTGCACAGACTTTCTCCAATTAGTTTTCTATTTTATTTTCTCCGAGATATCTATTCGGACTTGCTACATACCAGCTGACACCTATCGCCACCCATAGTACATTTTTTTTAAATTGTCTCAATTTTTCAATTTCCTAATTGTAGAACCGAAAACTTACTTTAAGAATATTAAAGAAAAGTAAAACCTCGTCCTAAATGGCAATTATTATTGAAAACTTGGAGCCCTTTTAAAGAATATACCGTTTAAGCGATACTATAAATGCGAAATTTAAAGCTTTTTTCACAGAAAATTTTTGAGTTTTCGAAAAAACTTAAATTAAAGTCATTTGAAGCACTTGCTCTCACAAATACAATGAAGTATACAAATTGCCGGAAATGTTCATATTATGGCGTAAGATATTAAAAAAAATTCGTGATTTTGGATTATGCGATCTTAAACAGTGAAATTAGCGCTATTCGTATGAAAAGTTTGAAGAAAAAATGTGGAGTCATTTTTGCGACATGGGCGTTTGAGCGTTTCTGAAAATGCGGAATATTCAACTCATTTTCACAGAACACTGAGTTTTCGAGAAACTTCATATAACATTATTTAAATTACATATGTTCATAAACACAATAATATCAACAATTTGCCGCTAATGTAAATATTAACAATGTAATAGACAAGTCAAAAAATTTCATTTTTGTAACTTTTGAAAAAACAAAAGTATAGAGCAATAGAACTTCTATGTCCGTTCCATAGAGTATATTTAGCACTATCCCTACCAAAAGATTAAACAAAAAATTTCCTGTCGTTCTTTAGAAAATATTGTTTTTGTTATTTTTGAAATATTGTAGATATATCAGGCAATATTGCGCGAAAACTACAATTCACAAAAATGTGCATGACCATAATGAAGGAACTAAATACGGAGAACAAACTTTATATCAATATCTTTATCCTCAATATTGTAGTTGTAGAAAGACGCTGTAAAACTCAAACTTTTGCAATTTTCGAAAATTTCGAATAAATGGTGAAAAGAACCTATGGTACTTTTATAAGTTTATTTGAAGAAAAACTTTGGAGCCATTTTTGAGAAAATTTTGAAAATCTTCCTGGGGCTTCGTGTAAAGTTCCTCCAAAATTTACAGAATTCGAGATGGCAGCACTTAAGAGTCGAGTTAGGTCGACCGGGGAATATCCGTTTTGGAAAGAATCCTACGTGTGGTTTAGGCGCTAGTGATGTTCACAGGCAGACAGACGGACGTTTTTCCGCCAATCGATTTTCCGATATCAGAGACCCACAAAACGTGGATTCTGGCTACACCACGAGTTGGAATTTTTCCCCCTAAATTTAGCGACTGAATATTCACCTACTTGTTATCAGGGCTCTGCAATGATTTTTTTCCTCGCCGCTGTTTTTCACGCAGCATTATGAAACTTTCTCTATACCGTGTATATTGCTCCGTATATACGAACGTATACAAGAAAGAAATATGGCAAAGTAAAACTTTATTCAAATATTTTATTTTTTATAATTCGTATATACATACCAACATACGCAAAGTGATCTCATTACAATAAACTGGACATTTTTAGTCCCTTAAGTAACTAAATCAGCCTAAGTGTAAACTATTGGGCTAAAACAGCACGTAGTTTCGCGCAGTATTTTTAGGTAAAATTACGAGGAAAGTTCTTAAATTTTAGAAAAATTTAAGATGACCTTATTTCAAAACCTCTCCACAAGGAACAGATTTCATTAAGAAAATAAACCTGTATCTTTAATATTTTAATTGGAGGAAGGGTAAAAAAAAATGTGAAATTTTTGCAATTTTCAAAAATCAGGATTTACAACGAACATGAGTTCTGCACTCTTAAACATCTTCCACTATCCAACAACAAAATTTAATATAAAAATGACGGAAGCATTTTTTTGAAAATTTGGAAAATGTTTCAAGGACTTCATGTAAAGTACCAAACAAAATTAAAACATCGTTTTCAAATTCTGAAGGTTACAACAAGTCAGACCAATTGGAGAACATCAATTTTGGGGAAAATCGCTGCACAATGTAGCCACTAGCGTTGTTCACAAACGTTCAGAAGTTTTGCCGTCATTCGATTTTTCAGTATTAAGGACCCACATAACACGGAATCTGGCTACACCACGTGTTAGAAAATTTTTGTCTACTCTTAGCAACTGCATTTATCCACTTTTTTTATTCCCAGGGCCCAGTAATAAGTTTTTCTGACAAAAATTCGCCGTCCCCCCCCCCATAGCATTATGTAAGTTTCTCTTCACTCTGAAGAGAGTGTTATGCCCAAAAAAGTTATTTTTGTAAAACAAGTTTACTTGCAATTTCCGATAGTATAGAGTAACCGTTCTTAAGCGTTGTCACCAATTATCCGCGAGATTTCCCCGGACTTGCCAAAATTACCATAAACCGATGAGAGGTCCAACTAGCAAAGCAGTAGTCACTATAACCAAAATCAAGGAGAAAAGCCCGTAACTCAGGCCGATCACGTAGTCACTTGCTATTGGCACTTCGACGCTCTCGACAAAATGGGAAGACAAGGGCCCCATAACTCCCATACAACGTGGTGGGGACCATTACAGTGGCGCGCTCTAGAACATTATCTTCTTATACGAACTAAAATACGAACTGCTACCAACGTTATTTAAAACGTGCGTGGGTTCTCTGGACGCAAACACACGCGCTTGATACAAACGATTTCGCCGCTGTTCGCGCTATCTTTTTTTCCATGCGTGTATTATCATAAATAAATGAATTTCAGAAGATAAACACATAGTATTAACTTCTTTTGTAATTTATTTCAGAAATCGCTCATAACCAAAGTGTATTCGTATTTCTTGACCAATATTTATGTGAGCAAGTTGGCGGCCTTACCAGCATCTGTATCCGGCGTCACTAGCACATCCTATAGTAGCAACCTCTAGCTTTGACCCCAATTTGTAATGGAGAGTTGCCGGGCTGAGGGGGGAAGTCTCCAACTGCCTCGCCGCTCGCCGCGCGCCGTCTTATACCCCTCTGGGCTAAGGGCTCGCTGACTGGCCGTGTCATGCGGCAGGCGACGCGCTCTGTTGCGCCTAGCCAAGCGACACGGCTCCGGTGCGACCGCTTTTACCGCCCTCTTGTGAGCGGCGCCCGTATCTTCTTGTGGTGCCGCCGTCTCGTGGCTGAAACCCTGTGGCGGCTCCTGGGTGGCTCTTTGACTACTGCGGGTGACTCTGCAGTGAGATAGGTAAAACTCTGAGTGAGTTGCCGCCAAGAAACAATGTTCTTGAATAATGGGAGAATCAATATTTACTACCACCTAATGAACAAAATTATTAGTATGCGATTTGAAAATCTTTATCTCCAAAGTCTGTACGTTGATTCTTAATGTTATATTTAGACCAAGCGGATGAATTCGTTGCCAATTTAAAGGATGTTCGTATTTAATTTCGAAATTACTGTAATCTGACTGAAAGCAGTGCTTTAGAGAGGCATTTTTTACTAAGTTCAGTCGACAAATTGATATTTTATTTCTGCTTTTCATTTCGAACACACGGTTCTGCCCCTAGAAAAATTCTCTAATTACGCTCACGGTTGAAGCACCGATGGTTCCGTTAGTGCTGTATGCACACAGCAGCAGAGGAGCACCATTGGTTGCCTTCCGCCGCTCCCGATGGGAGAGAGAGAGAGAGAGAGAGGCAAACGATGTGGTATAGTCCCTCTCGGAAGAATTAAGTCAGGAGCAGTTAGAAACCCTCTTGCAGTCCACTAGGTACGCATGTTTGATTGGTTTTCGGGCGCTGTAGAAGCGAAGATTACGAGTCCCGTAAGTGTAGTGCAGACTTTACCGCAAGAGGAGGCGGTGAGCTTCCACCTCTGAATGACGAGATCCGGTACCGACCTACAGGTCGGATAGCACGCACGTCGACCTACCTACGTGGAAAACCGGACACAAACTCTAAGGCATCTCGGTCAGAGGCTCTGCAATGACATCACTTGAAGTCTTGAGCACATTTGCCTGTCTGCAATGCAATATTGAAGAATCATCATACGAGGCCGTTAGGGTTAGTTTGATAACAAATCGTCGTTTGTACGAATATCGAACAAATTATTTACGATATAAGTGTCGTAAAGCATCTGATTACAATACGAGATGAGAAAATTGCCAAACGCGGCCGTTAGACCGAGTTCGGTATGCAATTATGTATTGTAATTGAATGTTACGATGTGAATATCGTACATTTTATCTACATCATAAGAATTTGTTAGATTGGAAATTTCGTTCCACGCCTTTATTTAGTATTCATATTTTTTTCTTCCTTAAGTGGCGACAGTGTTCTCAAGAAGGAGAACAATTGAAACACACTTGGTGTATAGTTTTTGACATGAGTAAATATAGTTCTGATCCGGAAATATAAATGGCAGCAAATGCTGCTATAGAAAAACTGTTACCCAACAAATCAAGAAAAAAATATGAGCGTTAGTATTTGATTTTTAAATATTAGTGTGAAAAAATTTCATTCCTTATTGACATAGATTTTGAATGCTTACTTTTTGGCAAGTCATAGAAGCAGAAACCAAGTAGTCTTTGGACCCATTACTTTATGTTAAAAAGTACAATATCACTTAACGACAATATTCACATCAGAATTTTTACTCAGTTATAAGCGTTTTTAAAGAAAAAAGTTAAGGATTCAATACAAAATGGCCAAAATATTTTCAAAAGAAGAGTGGAAAAGTACGCCATCACTTTACCGCCCTAGTTTCGTTACCACACTAGAGCGGTAAAGTATTTCATTACGACACTGATTATAATGACATAATGTTTATTGTTAACTATACAAAAAGGAATAAAAAGTTTTAACCAATTTGTAATAATTTCAGTAAACTATAATTTTCATTTAAATGTTACTATTTGACCAGCAAAAGGTGACAAACTGATAAAATAGCAAGTTATAGGAGGTCATGTATTCATTGAAATTACATTAATAAATAATTTTTGTTGCTGATACTAGGCCCTTGATTAATAGAACACATGGGTCGCAATAAATCTTATTAATACACTCATCTCAGTTTAGAAAACATTGACTGGAAAGTAGTACTGCAAGAAAATGTGCTTGCTACAGTGTTAAGCACGGAATTGCAACATCTAAGAAACTGTATCAATGCAGATAATCTGAGGCAATACAATCGCATCACCCCGCTGAGAAAACGTTCTGCTCAAACATCGGTGCTCAAACTCGAATTATTGGGTGTTAAACGAAGAAAACTGGCAAGTATATTCATGCTGCAGACTATTTTGAGAAAACAAAATACGGTAGTCAACAACCGTTAAGAAATTCAAACGCTACACTGATAAAGGTTACGTTGAAAGATTCATAGAAATACATCAGGCAGTAATATCTCGCTTTTGCATGACACATCGATTCAGTCTTTTAGTGCCAACAGAAATGGGTATTTCTCTAGAAACAGGTATTGTAACTCGAGTAGAGCAGAGTATTCATGATGGGCGGAGGTTGTACGTAATAGCACTGAAAATGATGGAAGATTCGCAATTTAGGAACTGACCGTTGTACCACGTCAAGAGATCCAACTCCGGAGTATTTCTTTGGCTGTCGGGTCAACACCTTCAAAGGCATGTCTAAACATACCACCTCCAACAGTACGTTGTCGTATATTTCCATCTGAACGAGTCAGCCTCTTCTCAGGCAGCCATGTGATTTGTGACAGCATCACATGGCTGGTAGATTACAGTGATGTAATGATAACTGTGTGAATGAATGGCACAAGATCGTGTTTCGGACGAATTGACATTCGTGTTTGTACTTAAAAGATCAAAGATCCATTCCGGGAGAGATGGATCAGTGCAGCGAACGGAAATCACTACAGTGCGGCTGACCGGGAGGGCCTAGCTTCGAGTCCCGATAGCGGCAGGACTTTCGACACTAGCTAGGCAGCTAGGTAAATTCAATCCTTGTCTGGAGGAGACGTCTAGAATCCAGCTTCTCTCATCAGTAGTTTTCGTGGTTCCTTCGATCAACACCTAGCGAATGCCGGAGCAGTACCTTAACAAACGGGCTATGGACCGCGCGCGATCTTTCTTTCCTCTTCATTTTTCTACCCCCACCCCTTATACTAACATGCACTACAGTACCACACATGCTGAGAGTCCGGTCGGGGGCTTAAAGCATGTCGCGGATAAGGTGGTGCCCCACTGAAATGATACACCTGTTTGGAGAAAACCCCGCGTTTGACGGTTGGTCGGCGCAGGATCTCGCTATCCATCAGGAAAGATCACAGCCCCCTCCCGACGAAAAACACACACTGCACTTACGGGACTAATGGCCTCGATAGTTGACGCGCCCAGAATCGCTAACAATTAATCAAGGATCGAAACAGTAGTCAAGGAGAAGCTTTTTATTTTGAACCGTATGATATATCATAATTTCAAACTTATTTAAACAGTCTAGTAATGTGTGGAATGAAATGCCATTTACCCCTTTCGTCACAAAGAAAAACAGTTCCTGGTTTCATTTTTAGTGTGAGTACGTCCCACAAACGTGCACGTATTTTAAAGTAGCGAGACGTATACTGCAGCAAAGTGTGAGGACGTGTGTGTTCTAGGACGCGATTGCGGAGCTGGCTGTGCCTAGATACGCCGAGTTTGGCGGGCAGTGCGCGGAGAACCGCCAGGAGCTGTACTACACGTGGAACTGGCCACAAGAGGGGGCGACGCGAGTGCGGCGCGCGGCGGACAGGGAAAACAAAGTGACGTTCGCGCTGACGTCCACCGGCGACGAGTTCGCCCTCTCCAGCATGGCCATGAACATCCTAAAGACGCGGGCCGCCATCCCGGACCTGCATGAACTTGGTAAGTTTTGCTTCAAGCTCTCAAAACGGCTTCTGCTACATCGCTTTCTGAACTCGCGGACGGTATCCAGAACGTTAGTTTTCCACTCTGAATAGGGATACTTTCTTTATCAGAAAGAATTTTTTCTTTGAAAGAATTCTAATGGGCAACGCGAGACCCAGACTGGCTTTCTAAGACATTTCTAGTCTTTCTTTTCTTTCATTACGCCAAGGTATCACAACTTCACATAGCATTCATCCTACTGTTATTACCAACTTTGGGCCAATCCAAGTAAACAAATATCAGTCACAAGTTAGAAGAATCGTAACGAATAAGAGACAAAGGGTTCTATACTTCGATTTATGTATAATGGCCCTTAGAGAACTCAGACAAATAGAGTATCTGAATATCGAAAGGACATAAAGGAATCATTTCAAAAACTTAACTCGGTCTCAAAACATCAACTTGAAACAGGACATTCCGTAGATTTCAAACAAGTAGTAATTCTAGACCAAGAACCACGGAAGGGCGCGAGCATTGTCAGAGATGTTGCATATGAAAGTAAATCAAACCTTGAATACCATCGTAGACTCCAAATCCTTCATCGGAATTTACAACTTACTATTACATTTTAACAATGAAAATCGAAATTAATTATTTTTTATTCATTTGTTTCTCGCCCTCCTTCCTTGACGGTTGAAACACATTGCTCGTAACCATCTCCAATTCTCTCTCAGACTTTTAACACAAAGGAACAAGTATTATTATTCTAGTTATTAATTTGCATTTAAACTTGATTAAAAATAAGATAAGCATTTGTCAACACACACACACACACATATATATATAAATGTAATACATATGATACAAACCTTACTAAATTACGACGGTTGATTTGTAGTTGATTGTAATTTCAAGTAGTGTAGTAAGAATTCAGTGTTAAAAATGTGAATAGTTTTTCTTTAAACTAAAAGACTGAAGATGGCTATAAGATATAGGCCGAAACTTTGCCAATGTCAATTTATAATGTAGTAAAAAAATAAATCTGAATATCTTAAATTAATGAGGAACTGTTTTTATTCATTAATTCACTTAACTCCACATGGCGTACAAACATTTGCTTTGCAAGTTAATAAAGTTTCACTTCACAAGACACAATACCTGGAGAGAGAGAGCATGTTAAATCTCGTATACTTTTGAGTAGATGTTCTTTGCGAACTCTACCTAAACTTCGATTTATTTATAATGGCACCTCGATGTCAAGAACGAAAAAGTAAGAGAGAAGGTAGTATCCAATAGGAAGCTTATATGTTTCTACAGTGTTGACAAACGAATGTTCTTGTGGCCGCTATGTACTTACCACGTCCTAGCTGCGCGAGTATGTGGCAAGACAGCGTAACTTGTCCTTAACGAGCTAGTGCTGAATGTACTGTATAAGATAACATAAACGCAAATTTTCTGTTTTCTTTTGTGTTTTCAAAAATTACACAAATGTGATTTGTTGACATCTCTCTCAAGTCATAAATCCGTATTTACGTTACCGGCGATTTGTTTAAATTATTGCATTTATGAGTACATACCCTTCAAATGATGTTCTGTATGATTTCTCGAAAATTTTATCGTTTCGTGCCTAATAAGCTTCAAATACCCCATTTTCCGAAACCTCCAAACGTCATTTTTTTCAGAAACGGTTGTACCCGCTCAGTGCGCATTACCTGCATTTCGCTTTGCATAATAATTGCGTTTGTAAACTATCTCTCCTTTCCAGCTCCGCCTCCCGGGTTATATTCCCCAACACCCTATTCTCTTTGCTATTGGAGTAATAATCAAGTTGCACAGGTACATCGTTTTTTGAAAAGAAATTACTCCCGCGTTATGAAGATAAGCTGGAATACGAAAACATACACTAATAAAAACATCCATCCATTTTCAATTATTTTAAGATTTAGGCAATGTGTTCAATTCTGAATCAACGTTTACGCAGACAAATAATAGTATTGCGAGGATTAATAATTACTAGCAAAATACTCGACGTTGTCCGGTGTTTTTCATATTCAATCCTAATGAAAAAGAAAGCGTCTCCATATCTTTCTCTCTCTTTATTAAATTAGATTTATTAATAATACTGCAATTAAGTTTGAGAATTTGGTGGAAGAATACACTTACTTCACATTACAGAACTTAACAACTTAAAAAAATGTACAAACTTTACAAATTAACGTGAACATTTCACCGTGCAATCTTTCATAGAACTCCACTTCACCACACTTCACTTCACCGTACTGCAAAACAGCGAGATGTAATGTCTTTCTTACACACTCGTTTCTCTCAGTTTCAGAACATCACTGCACTTCGCGCCACTGCACTGCACATAATAATAATAATAATAATAATAATAATAATAATAATAATAATACTTAACTACATAGAAGACATAGTTAATTACACTGAATTTTATTAAATATATTTATAACACACTTATCAACATTCAGGAAACTAATTTATTTTTAAATTTGTTGAGGTTTTCAGGAAAGGGATCGAAGTTGACACAGACAAACTGTTCCAGTCTCTCATAGTTTGATTCGCGAAAGAATATTTCCCAACGTCCGTCTTCTGAATTCTTGTCTGAATCTTTATCTTTATCTTTCTCTGTCTCTCTCTCTTTCTGTCTTCTTATCCCTCTGTATATATGTATTTTTCTCTCTCTGTCTTTTTCTTTCTGTCCCTCTCTCTCTTTGTCTTTATATATCTGTATCTCTCTTTGTCTTTCTCTTTGTTTCTCTCTCTGCTTCTCTGGCTCTGTCTGCCCCTGTCTATCTCTCTGTCTGTCTTTCTGGCTTTGACTCTCTTTCTGTCTTTGTCTCTTTCTGAATCTTTCTCCATCTGTCTCTCTCTTTTACATACGCGCGTCGCTATCTTCCGTCTCCCCCCTCTCTCTCTCTCTCTCTCTCTCGTGGTTAACTAAACATACAAAATGTTGCAATCAGGGCGGTGTATCTCAAAAGTTTATCGCTTTTTCTATACTATTTTTCTTAATACTTCTGCCTTCTGGCCAATTATAAACTGTGACTAATTTGTCTTAGGAGTACTCAACTATCGCTATGTCGACGTTCAATAAAACGCGTATGTACTGTAATATAATATCTTTGATTAAAACATACCTTTCAGTTATTTTCAATATTTGGTGTATTTTGAAACTGTTAGGCATAATTTCATTCGTGGAATAGTCCTATTAAATAAATATCCCTCGTGCTTTTGAAATTCTCAAATAATGTCGCTTCGCTAGTCGGGGATATATCAATAATTTCCAAAGCACTCTTGATATTACTAATGGTAAGGAACTTTCCAAAGAAAACTAGAAATTAGAAAATAATAAACGTTCTATATAAACTTATTGATGATAGAATATCTCGTTTGTAGTAAGAGCCACATGGGTGGTTTTCGTAAGGAGCTTTCAAAATAAGATTTCAATTAATAAATAGGGAACTATTATATAGAAAGTGAATAGTTCTTAAACTTATCCAAGTGAACATTATTAACATCAAAAAGTGTTTTTGACTGTAAGATTTTGTTTTTTCACATAGAGCGTTGACTAGCATCAACGATACGTAATTTAACGTATGCGGGCCTGTGTTCTTCCAGAAATCAACACGAACGCCAACGGTAGCGCAGACGGCCTGGCCCTGTTCGCGGCGCCCAAGGGCCAATCGCACGCCTGCGCCGCCGCCTCCGAGGTGGACTTCGAGGGCGGCGCCGGCATCGTGCTCTCGGACGTGCTGCTGCAGGCCTTCAACGTGGACAACGAGGAGCCTAGCGCAGCAGGTAGGTTGCTTGGCAGGCGGGTTCAAACCGCTCGCACAACAGGCCCTGCTGCCAGGGCGCGCTCTTCGCAACATAGTACGCCAGAGATTCCCACTCTTAAAAAATTCACACGTAATTTTATTTTGGATGTATACTCCGAATCTCTTAGTGACACAGCCGCTGTGTAGGATTTTCGCCCAGCCATGCAATGTATACTACATAAAACGCAAGCTCAGGTGTTGCTGTTCCATGCGTAAAGATAACACTGTTGCAAGATTTACTGATATACAGAATTATTCATTCCCCATTGTTACGAAACAATCTATTATTTATGAAACGAAATGATTTATAAACGAATATACGCAGCAAAATCGACAAAAATGTAGAGTACCAAAGAATTCCAGGCTTTAACATTGAATAGCTTCCGAGAAATGTGAAACCTGGCTGATAAATTAACATAATTCTGAAGGCATGAATTCAACCTCTAGCACTCACAACGTCTTCATAAATTAACTTTAAAGTTGACTAATTCTTGAGTCAATTGTGTTTCAGCTTCTACATTTCCTAAGCGAAAATATTGCGTCATGATTGATTTTGCGTCACACCTTGTTAAACTCTCCCTGGGTCAATGTACTACCCCCTCCCATCCATCTCCGCATAGATTTCCCAGCGCAATAGTAACGTACTTCTAAAATTGTGTCTTCCAATCTACGCCAACTCTTCGCTAGTAAGAACCGACTTTTCACATTTCCAGCACTTTCTCTTCCTTTCAAAGCCTTTGGTTGCTATTGTCGAACCCGTCGCTCGCGCTTCAGTTCCACTTGCAAGTATTGTTAAATGAACGTAGGCAAATGGTTGGATTCTACCCGTATTTCGATTACAACATTAATTATATATTCTCTCCCAAGAAAGTTGACATAATCCATTGTATTATCTCCGTTATCCCTAATAAATGTGAGTTCACTTACCATATCCTGACCATAGTTGCTATTTAAAATTTCGAGATTAAAACTCGTGTAATTAAAGAAATGCCTAACAAACATTATTCAAAACAGAATCTTTGCCTTTTGTAGAATTCGTTGTATATGGGTTAGAATAGTAATGCCAGACTTCATGCACTTCTCCCCATAGTACGTCACACACAGTTTTAGCTGTTTTTGACGTTAAATGAACAAATAAATAAAAGCGTAATAGTCTAGCAAGAAATATACACAGAATACTGAAATGTCGTTTCCTCTCTGTGTCTTTATTTTTACATACGGCTGCAAAGCCAGACATATGAGATGTTTCACCCTCCTTCCACCAAGTTTCAACGAGACCTATGATATCAAATGCATTTGGGTTGCATTATTTATCAATGGCAAAATCCGTTCTTTCGCCGAGTGTCGTTGCGGGGCGGCGGGAAACGGGTGTCAATGTAATGAGTCGTGTCGCGGAAAGAGGGAGATAGTGTCAGGGAGAGGAAGCGCTGCTGCACGGGGATGACGGGTACTAGAGAAGGATTTTCCTAAGGATGGGATGATTTGACAGCTAGTGCTGGCAACACAACTGACGATT